ATACATATAAATATACATATATATCAAATATACATATAAATATACATAAACATATCAAATATAAATAATAATTCAGAGTGCTTCATCAACAACAGTCTGAGCTGGAACTAATAAAATTCCAGCAGCTTCTGCAGAGTCACCGGAAGCAGAAGTGGGTGTTTTCTTTTTCTCTTTATATTATGGGAAAAACCCAAACTGTGATTTCGTTTTGACCTCCAAACGTAGCTTCTGGTTGTGGAGAAAGTCGTATAATAGTGAGAGTCAGATGTAACCAGACTACAGCAGATAAAACAGACTCTGATGATTCCACTCACCACATCCGTTTGTGGTTAGAGGACAGGATTCTGCTCCCACCTCCCACGTAGAAGACCGCCCCCGGCCACACACTCAGATTGGCTGAACAAGCACCCCCGTACCTGTAAAAGTTTTTTTTCTGTTTATTTGTTTCCTCACCAGTGAAACCAGCTGGACGTGTCAGAGCCAAACGCTGCCCACTCTGAACAGCTGAAACCAGCTGGATTACTGGCAGCAGCAGGGTGTAGATGTTTCCAGTCAATCYCTCCACAAAGGAAAAGATCATTCACTGCAGCTACTTTCCCCCTCGTTCCCATCAGTGCTCTTACTGCTGCCCTCCGTTTTACAGGGAATCCCTCCCGAGGCCGTGTTCTTCACTTTTAGCTCATGTTTTKGAACCGTAGTTCTGTTATGAGACGAGATGTGTGTGTGTGTGCTGGTTTCCTCTGAAGAGAGTCATGTTGGAGAACAAAGCCACGCTTGTTTTCTGATGTTGCAGGGGTGGAGGTGGACTGGGAATAGTTGAAGCAACACTGGAGGACCGCAGAGACCCACAGCTGTAATATCAAAAGAAAAGTGTCCAAGTCAAACAGACGGGCCTTTATGCTTTTTAGTTTGTATTTGGGCTTGATGAATTCGATCTGCACTCAGGCGTATTTCCTCGCATTGATATTCTGAGTAAAGTATCCAGACTTACAGGAAGGATTTTACTGTTACAGACTTTAGGAAGGATTCATAAAATATTTTTTTGGTTTCTCCATATTGTACTGGTTTATTTATAAAACACCTAAAAACACCTACAACCAAACAGCTGCTCCATCCTGGTCCTCTAGAGCAGTGGTTCCCAAACTTTTTATCTTCTGACCCACTAATTATCCATGGCAAAAAGTTGTGACCCCAAATATTACTGGTCTGATTACATGAACTTCGTTAATAACCCTAAAGACACAGGCTTTTTGACAATCTAAACAGCTTATACACAAATATAAATACTAATTTATATGTATTTTGTGTTTTTGTAATAGTTATAGGGAAAATATTACATCAGCAATTATTTTATTCCCTTTAAATTGATTACTGGAGATTATCCAAGGTGCTTCATGACCCATAATTGGGTCCCAAGCCCAACTTTGGGAACCAAAGTGCACTGGTTCCCAAACTTTACAGCTTTTGACCCACAAAATAACAGTATCAGAGACCTGTGCCCCCAACTATTTTTGGATGATAAACATTTGGATCAGGTCAACAA